TCACGTCCCCTCAGGCACCTCCAACAGCCCAGCGCTATCAGAGCCCCCAGCCCACGGAGGGAGAAGTGGGCATCAGCCTCCATTAGGGGGACAGGGTGACAAGCTGCAGCTCCTCCTTGTGCTCTCTGTGGGCTCCAAGGGACCAGGGCCACCTGCCCTCCTTTCCTCCCCCCAGCACGCAAGCCTGCCCTCACCCCTTGTTCTTCAGGATGGCAGCCAGGTGGCTGGTCTTGTTCCCAGGGGCAGCGCCGGCACGGAGGGAGAAGTGGGCATCAGCCTCCATTAGGGGGACAGGGTGACAAGCTGCAGCTCCTCCTTGTGCTCTCTGTGGGCTCCAAGGGACCAGGGCCACCTGCCCTCCTTTCCTCCCCCCAGCACGCAAGCCTGCCCTCACCCCTTGTTCTTCAGGATGGCAGCCAGGTGGCTGGTCTTGTTCCCAGGGGCAGCGCCGGCATCGATCACATGGAAGGTCTGCGCAGCAGGCACCCCCAGCCCCTCCTCGGGGCATGCCTGATGCTGCGGGGTCACAGGCAACAAGGGGACAAGTCCCCCACTGCCACCATCCACCACTGGAAGCCTCTCCCCAGCCCACAGCCCCACGCTCCTCCCAGCTGCTGGTCCCCAGCTCCTATGGGGCTGTTTTACAGCCCAGTTCAGAGCAATTCACCCCAAACCTACAGGCTATGGAAGTAAAGCCATGGGGGAGCCCCTCGGCTGCAGGCTGCTGTCAGAATTTCTGCTTAGACTTCAAGCGCTGCAGCAAAGCCAGCCCAAGCCCAGCCCTTGGCACGTAGGATGGGACCGACCCTCCACCCATGTCAGTGGTTTTCCCGCCCCTGCAGCCTCCTGCTCCCCAGCTCCTCACCTTGTCCTGCAGAATTATGTGTCCTGAAGTGTACAGCAGGTTGTCGTGGAAGTCCGTCTGCGGAGGGAAAACCAGCAGCTCCGGGAGATGAAGATCCAACAAGAATTTCTTCCCGGAAAGGGCCCTCAGATCCTCCATACTGCCCACAAGACACAGGGAGGAGGATGAGCACACAGTCCTGCTTCACTGTGCCCAAAACCAGAGCCCTCCAGAGCCCAGGCAGAGAACCCCCTTCGTCCCAGACCTCCTCTCCATTTCAGCACCAGGTAGAACCCAGACAGGTGGAAAGCAAGAGTGGGAACCTGCCCACCACAAGCACCAAGACCAACAACGCTCCAACCCACACGACCTCATCCCAAGCTCTTGCTGCTCGATGATGGCCCAGGTAAGGTGGGATGGCAGAAAGAAACACTTACTTGGCTGCCTGGCCCAGGTAGGAATAGCCCTGGCGCTTGAAGAAGTCAATCACATCGTCCACACGAGTCTTCAGGGTATTGACTCGGACGTAGCGTGGTACCTGGGGGGCTGGGGGAGCCGGCTGGGTCAGCTGCAGCCCACCACTGCCGCCCGCCCAGGGAACCCCCCCAGCCCCAAGGCCCGCTCACCTCCGGGGCTCGCTGCCTGGGCCGGGGCCAGCAGGTCCTCGTTGC